AATGATTTATTTGCTTCAAGCTTCTTTGTCCACTGGACTTGGAATAAATGGCCTAGGTCGGAGCCAGGCCACCTCTAGCACTAATTCACCAGCCTTGAGAAAGTCACCTGACATCTCAGTTTGCTTTGTTTTGTTTTTTAGTTTCTGTAACCCTAAAGTGAGGAGCTCTGGTAGTGTAGAGTTTTGCTTTTCTGGTCTTTCTGCAGTGAAAGCCTGGTAGCATAGTGCCTAAGGCTGGCGGTTCAAACCCACCAGCCACTCCTCAGAAGGAAGGTTGGGCAATCTACTTCCATAGTGATATTGCCTCGGAAACCTGAGGAGGGGTCGCTATATGTTGGGTCCGACTCAACGGCACATAACAACAACAACAAACCCTAAAGTGAGGATAAGTTGCATCTGAAATACCTTGTCTGTAAAAGCATATTTTAGCTGAAAAAATCTTTATATATCTCTGGCACATTAGTAATGCTGAATATATATTTGAGAAGTAAATTTGTTTAAATTAGTTAAAAAATATTATAGCTAGTTCCTGTGAATGGCTTACACGAAGCACATGCACTGAAAAGGATTTACATCTCCTTATGCTCTTCTTCTCAGCGTTACAGAGTTAGGGTACATCAGGTGCCCTAAGTTTGGTGTTAGAGGTCTCTCCTTTTGTTCCAGCTCCAACCCTGGACGTGCATATAGTACAGCAGCCTGCACCTTTAGATCTCAGGAACCCACCCTTTACTGAAAGCAAAATATAATACCACATCATTAAATGTAGTTTCTATTTTATTCCATACATTACAATGCTAAAATGCTGTTAGCTATCTGGATTAGATGTTAGATTGAGTTAAGTAGTAGAGTCTACTCTCAGGTCAGAAGTCAGGCTTCTTTGGTATTGTGACATTTCCTTGGCAACTGAGAAATGGGAACTAATGACTCTACCCCAGCCCAGGACAGAGGTCCTCCTGGGAAGTGACGCCAGACCGTCGGGTGGGCTGTGCTCTTCATTCCCCTGCAGGACAGTCTTACCTTGACATATGGATTCCAGCTGAAGGAGCACTTTCCCCCACTGTCCACACGGCCCATTTCATGCAGCATCGTGCTCTTGGTCAGTTTCATGATCTCTGTCACCACATACAGGTTCTCCTTTCTGTTGCGGCACTCCTTTAGAAACCCTGGCTCTTTCTCCAGTCCCCTGGGGGTGCAAGGAGGGAAGAGAAGGGGCAGAGCTGGGAAAGGAACACTTCCTTGCCTTGCTCTGGGTTACACTTCTGCTTAGGACCTAGAAAGGGGTGTAGTGCATTTAGACTTTGATGGATAAATCCCCAAAGCGTAGGAAGACAGTGACTTAGGAGGTTAAGTTACCTATGGCAACAGAACATCTTCTCCATTGGATAAGGTGGAAGGGTATGTGTACCATATCTTTAAGGGTATCTACGTCTTTCAAGGTGTAGGTCATGTTATAGGGTAGTTTATAGATTTACCCTATGAGGACCTCTCACTTGAAAAGACCACAAGTAGATCAATTCAGACGGTTGACCTTGGGAGACCCTGTTGT